AGCTGGGATTACCCGCGCCCGCCACCTCGCCCCGCTAATTTGTATTTTTGGTAGAGACGGGTTTCACCGTGTTGGCGAGACTGGTCTCGAACTCCTGATCTCAGGTGATCCGCCCGCCTCGGCCTCCCAAAGTGCTGGGACTACAGGCGTGAGCCACCGCGCCCGGCCTCGCCCTTCCTGAAGGCTCGGCCTCCCCGCCGCCTAAGTTCGCCTCTCCTGAGGGATCCAGCTTCCCCGCCGCCAGGGTTCGCCCTTCCTCAGGGCTCGGTCTCTTCGCCGCCTAAGTTCGCCCCTCCCGGGCACCCACCTGGTCGCCTCTGCCGCCCGCCTTCGCGCCTCCTGAGCACCTACTTGGCCGCCTCTGCCGCCTGCCTTCGCCCCTCCCGGCACCCACCTGGCCGCCTCTGCCGCCGCCCCGCCTCGCAGCCGCCGCGGAAGGACACGGTCGCGGAGGACGCCTCACACGCAAGCCCGACCGCACCCACGGACCGGACCTACTTTCCGTAAAGGGCCCGGGGCTCCGCGCAGAAGCGGCCTGTAGGGGTCTCCCGTCCTCGGCCCGGCGGGCTATAAGGGGCCCGGGCGGCGAAGGCGTACGGAGCCAAGTTCCAGGCAGCAGCCCTGGGACGCCCTGACAGGGCCAGGCCGAGCCGGGCCGGGCAGGGCGGAGGTCTCCGTTGCCTAGCTACCGGGGCTGCGGCCTGTGGGCGGAGCCTGTACCGTCGCCAGGACACGGGGCGGGGCCTCAGCGGGAGCTGGCCGAGGAGCCGGCACGGGCCATTGGCGCATGCGTAGGGCGCGGCATGGGGGCGGGGCCCACCTAGTGGCGGAGTCTCCTAAGGGGCGGATCGTGGGCGGGGCCTGGAGGCGGAACCGGCGCCGTCAGTAGTCCGCTGAGGACGGAGGCGGGGCCTGCGCCGGTGGGGCGGGCGGGAGAGGAGGCGCGGCCTAGTGCCCGAGTGGGGGCCGTTGGTTGGTGCGCGGTTGAGGGGTGTGGCGCGAGCAGCGCCGTTGGTTGGCCGGCGGCGGGCCGGGACGGGCATGGCCCTGCTGCTGTGCCTGGTGGGCGTGACGGCGGCGCTGGCCCACGGCTGTCTGCACTGTCACAGCAAGTTCTCCGAGAAGTTCTCCTTCTACCGCCACCATGTGAACCTCAAGTCCTGGTGGGTGGGCGACATCCCCGTGTCAGGGGCGCTGCTCACCGACTGGAGCGACGACACGATGAAGGAGCTGCACCTGGCCATCCCCGCCGAGATCAGTGAGTGCCGGAGCCCAGCCCAGTCCCAACTACCCCCCAGCGAGACCCTCGGGCAGGCCGGTCACCTGGCTGCTTCTCCTGCCCGCAGCCCGGGAGAAGCTGGACCAAGTGGCGACAGCAGTGTACCAGAGAATGGATCAGCTGTACCAGGGGAAGATGTACTTCCCGGGTAAGGGGCGCGAAACCGAGGCGGGGCCCGCCCACCCCAGGACACCCCGCCCACCCCAGGACACCCCGCCCACCGCCTGAGCCTGACCTTCTCCTGCCTGGACTCCTCAGGGTATTTCCCCAACGAGCTGCGCAACATCTTCCGGGAGCAGGTGCACCTCATCCAGAACGCCATCATTGAAAGTGAGCAAATAAGGCTTCAGGGGAGGGAGGTGTGGCCCAGAGCCTCAGAGACCCACGGGGCTTGGCTGAGGCTGGAGCGATGTGAACAGGGCACCTGGCACCGGGCAGCTGGGGAGGAGGGCAGCTCCCCAGAGAGGGACCCAGCCCAGCCCCTGAAGGATCAATGCCATCACCCCGCGGGACCTCCCCTAAGTAGCCCCCAGAGGCGCTGGGAGCATCGCCACGCCCTCCCCTGAAGTTTGCTCCATCCCACGCTGGGGGTCACCTTGGGGACCCCTTTCCTCTGGGCCATGGACACACATACATGAAAACCACGTGAGCCTGGGCCCCAGTGGCGAGGGACAGGCCCCGAGGCTTTGACGGATTGGGAGGAGGCAGGACTGGGGACAAGGCTGGGCCTGGTAAGACGGCGCTGTCCTGCCTTCCCACAGGTCGCCTCGACTGTCAGCGCCACTGTGGTAAGCGAGGCTCCGTCCAGGCTGAGGGGCGCGCTGGCGGCAGCTCGGGGCCCTGGAGGCCGAGGGGAGCCCTGGCGGCTGTCGTGTGTTTCAGGCATCTTCCAGTACGAGACCATCTCCTGCAACAACTGCACAGACTCGCACGTCGCCTGCTTTGGCTATAACTGCGAGTAGGGCTCAGGCATCACACCCACCCGTGCCAGGGCCCTGCTGTCCCTGGGGTCCCAGGCTCTCCTTGGAGGGGGTTCCCCACCTTCCACCTGGCCCTCGTCATCGGGGTAGGGTGGGTTTGGGGGTTCAGGGGCGCACTACTTCCAAGCCCACGTCCCATAGGTCCTCGGAGCAGTGGGAGTCAGCTGTCCAGGGCCTGCTGAACTACATGTGAGTGGGGTCTTGGGGCGACAGCAAGCTCACCTGGGCCTGGGAGGGAACATTGGCCGTGGCCACTCGGCCTCCTGAGTCCAAACCCACTGTCCTTGCAGAAATAACTGGCACAAGTAAGTCCCCTCCTCAAACCGACACAGGCAGTGTGCGTGTGTGAGCACCTCGTGGGTGAGTATGTGTGGGGCACAGGCTGGCTCCCTCAGCTCCCACGTCCAACCCAGCTCTGCGCAGGAGGTGGCCGCAGTCCCTTTCACCCTCAAAGGTCTCTGACCCTTAGCTGGAGGGGGGCATCCTGCTTAAAGGGTCCCCATAGGGTCTGGTTCCACCCCTGCCCCAGGTCTGTGGTCAGAGCCTGGGAGGGTTCCCTGCGATGGTTAGGGGTGCCCCATGGAGGAGCTGACTGCCCCATATTGCCTTTCAGACAGGACGTGAGCATGAGGTAAGGCTGCCTTGACCTGGCCTTCAGGGGAAGGGAGTAAAGGAAGCGGGGGGACTGGGGGTCCTCTAGGTCAGTGGGGGCACCGCAGGTGGGGCTCTCCCTATACCTGGGACACCTGCTGGATGTCTCCTCTGCAACCACACCCATGTGGTGGTTTCATGAACAAACTACGCTCCTCCTCCTTCTCCTGGCCTGGGATGCACAGAGCCACCCCAGCCTTGTGAGTGACCTAGAGAAGGGAGGCCTCGGGAGAAGGGGTGCTCCTAAACACTGCGTGCCGCGGCCCCCACACCCTTCTGAAATCCCAGGCACGCGGGTGTCGTGGATGTGGCCACACATAGGACCACACATCCCAGCGGGGAGGAGAGGCCTGGGGCCCCCCAGCAAAGACCCCCAGGGAGGGAGGCAGGGGGTGAGGGACATGGAGAGCTGAGGCAGCCTCATCTCCCCACAGCCTGGTATCGCCGGCCTTCAGGTGTCTGGAGCCCCCACACCTGGCCAACCTGACCTTGGAAGATGCTGCTGAGTGTCTCAAGCAGCACTGACAGCAGCCGGGCCTGCCCCAGCGCAACGTGGGGCCAGGACTCAGCTGGACAGCCCCCGCCTGTCCCTCTGGAGCTGGGCTGCTGCTGCCTCAGGACCCCCCCTCCAACCCCGGACAGAGCCTGAGCTGGCCAGGGCTGGGAGGGCGGGAGGGAGGGAGCCGTGTACAGCGTCAGCGCCTGGGCAGGTCTGCGGAGCTGCGAGACGTGATGATTAAAGTCCCTGATGTTTCTCTTTGCAGAAGAGTTCTTGTCGGAGCAGGGGGAAGCCCCTGGGGGCTGGAGGTGGGCTTCTGGGGAGGCCTAAAAGTCCCAGACAGAGCAGGGCAGGTCCTGGCCTCAGGTCCGCAGCCATGGGGGACCGACTTGGAGCCACACTCACAGGGCCTCAGGGAGTGTCCCCGGACTCCTAGATGTGGGGCCGTGGCCCACCTGAGCACACACAGGTAGGCTCGCACAAGCCCACAGAGCGCCTGGGTTCTTCCACCCAAAGCGAGGCCACAGTATGGTCGAGACCAGGGCCAGCACTAGTGCGTTTAGGTGTTCTGGTCACATCAGACCCGAGCCAAGGAACGCAGGAACTGTGGCTGTCTCAGCTCTGTGCCAGCAACAGGTGTGGCATGATGGCCAGAGCCGGGGCCACGACTGCCTGACCCTGGCTGACCGGTCCTGAGACACAGGAGGGAGGGACTCGTGTTCCATCTGTGCAGTGGTGCCGCTCCAAGTCCCATTCTCACTCGGGCGACCTCAGCCCGGTGGTCTCCTTGCTTCTGCCGGTCTCCTCACTTCCTCGAGTGTCCCTTTGCTCCGGCGTTGGGGCGGCTGCAGGACACTGGCGAGAACAGCCCTGATCGCACTGGCGCTGCCAGCATGGGCCCCACACACTGTTCCGCGGCCGCCTCAGGCTTCCGTCACGGGAGGGGCGCATGGGCACATTCGCTGTCAGGAACGGCGTGTGGGAAGGTGGCCGAGCGCCTCCCAGGCTCCGTGGGACATGGAGCCACACGCGTGTCAGGGGAGAACGTGGTAGTGGCCACTGAGGACAGCGTCCGGAGTGGTGGCGCCGGGTCCTGGCTGTGAAAGATGCTTCCTTCGAGGCCGGTGAGCGTATTTAACAGGAAAGAGGCTCGCGGCAGGTGCTTTCAAGGCACTGTTTTCTATAAAGGACGCTGGTGTGGGCTGCGGCTGGGGTCCCGTCTGTGCTGCTCTGCGCCCCCTGCCACCAAATGCCTGCCACCACGGCCGCGTCTTGGGTTAGAGTTGGCAGGGGCTTCACTGACCCAGCGTCACCTTGCTCGAGGCTCCCATCTTCAAGGTGTAAGGCTGGTGTAAAGGAGGCAAATTCACCCAGGGGCGGGGTGGCTGCTCTTCCGCAGTTCTCAATTCTGGATCTGTCCCTGCCCTGAGGGGCTCCTGCGGAACGGGAGGGAGAGTGGGCACCTGCTCCCCTGCACAGCCCTGGGGGGAGATGCTGGGAACCAAGGCCTTCACGGGGTGGGGCATTCCCTGGCCTGTGCCTGCCCGAGCCCCAGGCCTGGATGGTGCTGGGGACGGAGGCCACCTCCCAAGGGCCCGTGAGCTGAGGCGCAGAGGCTCCAACCCTGCAGCGCCGCATGACCAGGTCAGGCAGAAGGCCCCATGTGGAAATGCCTGTTTTACAACTTTATTGGATCATCCTGACACAAAATCAGGACAGCAGCGTGATATGTCTCTCTTCTTTATACGGGAATGTCGATAGCAAATAAATTCTTATGTAACACATCATATAATTTCAAATCCTAGAATCACTGCACGGGATTCTGTAATAGATTACATGCTAAAGTGACAGTTTTCATCAAAAGGAAAAGATAAAATGTCATTATCTCTGAGGAAGGGTCAGTCCTGTGCCCACGCTGGCCACGGGGATTGAGCGGAGTCCCCTTGCCCTGCCTGGTGGGGGCTCTCCCAGGTCCTGCCCAAGGGCACTGGGCACACTCCTTCAACACAGGAGAACAGCCCGGGTCGGGTGCTTCCAGGCCCTGCCCGGGCCTTCCTAACAGTGCTGGGAAGGACGTGGGGAAACCTTGGTGCGCACAGTGGCAAGCAGGGGACGCGACCACACACCCCCACCCCAAACCTAAGCTCGTCGAGCTGCACTTCTGCTGACCAGGAAGAATGGTGGCAGAAGCCTCATCCCACCCGGTCCATGGTTCTGACGGCAACCTCTCTTCGGCGTCCCTGGCCCCTCCCTGCCCACAGCCTGGCTGGTGCGTGGCCTGGGATCCCAGGGCCCAGCCACCAGCCCACGAGCACACTGACGATGGCCAATGCCCGGCAAAACCGCTTTCCTTCCGTGGATCCTGGGACAGAAAACCTTGGCGACAGCGGCCCTTCCTTGCCCTACCCCGGACGCCACTGTCAGGACCTTTGGGACAAAAGCAGGTGACCCCAGAGGAGGCCACGTCAGCCCCGCCCAGTCCACCAAGTGCCCCTCATGTGGTGCCCGTTGGGCCCTGGCCCAGGACAGGAGCCCCTGAAGCCACATTCAAGGACTCGGCCTCCAGCGCGGGGCAGGCACAGGCCAGGTGGGGGGGCCCTTGCTGGTCTGGGGACGTGAAGGGGACTTCCTGCCAAAGAGAGTGGGAAGAGTCACAGTAAAAAAGGACGGTCGGATAATTCAACGCAACGTACGACCTCGGACGTCTACACGGCGGGCGACAACAAGGAGTTAATTAAATTAACACTCAGGCTTGCGTACAGTACACACGACCGAGGAGAGGCGAGACACGTCAGGGCTGCGGTCCCCGGGTGCGCGGGGCTCGCAGGCAGCTCTCAACACTTGGCCAGCGTCGCCTTCATCTCTTCTAACAAGTTGCTCAGCAGCGTGGAGTCACTGCACTTCCCATCGACCGAGACAGAGTTCTCCCCCTGTGTAAGGAAAAATATTGGTATTTTTAAAAGCGTGTGCAGAGGCCAGGCATGGTGGCTCACACCTGTAATCCCAGCATTTTGGGAGGCCAAGGTGGGTGGATCACCTGAGGTCAGGAGTTGGAAACCAGCCTGGTCAATACGGTGAAACCCTGTCCCTACTAAAAATACAAAAAACAGACCAGGCGCGGTGGCTCACGCCTGTAATCCCAGCACTTGGAGAGGCCGAGGCGGACAGATCACGAGGTCAGGAGATCAAGACCATACTGGCTAACACAGTGAAACCCCGTCTATACTAAAAATACAAAAAAAATTAGCTGGGCGTGGTGGCAAAGCGCTTAGTTCCCAGCACTCCTGGGGAAGGCTGAGGCATGAGAAGCATGAACCCGGAGCGGGACTGGCAGTGACCGAGATCGGCCCTGCACCAGCCCTGGGACGACAGGAGCCCGAGACTCCATCTCAAAAAATAAATAAATAAATAAATAAATAAATAAATAAATAAATAATAATAATAGAATATCCTGGGATTTTAAGGGTTAAATGCAAATAAAACTTTGGGTGAGTAGGGTAAAACAATACATGCCTCAAATAACTTAAAATGATTTCCTGACCTTGTTTATTAGGATTCCTCTTCAACTGGAGATTTTTATTCTCCCAACAACTCCAGAATTGGGGAAGACACTATCAGATGTGGGGCTCCAAGTATTCAAAACAAGTATTTGTTCCAGATTTGCAACAGTTTAGTGCTAAATACAGTGGTTTTGATTTAAAAGTTAAATGAAGCGGGACTGGAGGCAGAGACCTTGTAGAGGCCTGGGGCAGAAGGGGAATCGCTATGCGTGGGGGGGGAGCTAGGCAGGAGGATCCATGCGGGGGGGATGAGCGAGATCTGATGCGGGGGAGCTGAGGCGGGAGGATCCTATGCGGGGGGGCTGAGGTGGGAGGATCCGATACAGGGGACTGAGGCGGAAGGATCTGATGCAGGGGAGCTGAGGCGGGAGGATCCTATGCAGGAGGCTGAGGCGGGAGGATCCTATGTGGGAGAATGAGGCAGGAGCATCACTTGAGCCCAGGAGGTTGAAGCTACAGTGAGCCGTGTTTGCACCATTGCACTCCAGCCTGGGCAATAGAGCGAGATCCTACTTCAAAAACATTAAAAAAAAAAAAACCACCCACTATGTGCAAATACTGCCTCACAGCTATATGTGCTGACCTTTTAATTTTGCGAATTTGCTAATTATTAAAACACAAAACGGGAAGGGCTCGGGTGAGGGAGTGGCCCATGGCACCCGGGTGTCCCATGGGAGGGGCTCCGGCCTACACAGAAGTGGGAGCCGACACCTGAGGGCCCCGAGGCAGCCAGAGGCCGCTGGGGACAAAGACCAGAATCCGAAAAGCTCCTGAGCTGGCAGTGAGTTGAGCAGTCTGTCCTTCCGCCCTCCTGCCACTGGGCCCCCGAAGCGACTGTGGAAGAAGCCAGCGGAGTGGGGTAACCAGAGCCCCAGCGAGGGAGGTGCATGGGAAAGCAGCGGCTCAGAATCTGCTGGGCCCGCCCCTCGCCACGGAGCCCGCCCCAAAGAGCAGCCCAAGCACTGAATCCAGAGGCCGCGGCTGGGTCCCGCCAGGCCAGGGACAAGAGGCAGCACTGAGAGGACAGAGGCTGGGCAGGTGGCGGTGCACTTGGGGCCACGGTCCCCAGAAGGCAGGAGGCACCTGCAGCTGAGACCTGACCACCCACGTCCTCCACAGAATGGAACAAGGCCCAGAAGCTCACAGGACTCCAAGGAAAAACCAGGAGAATCCACTCATACGGAGAGGCCCTTGGCAGACCCCAGTGCCAAGACCCCAGCCCCAGGGCACCAATGCCAAGGCACTAATGGCAAGGCTGTTGGTAGACCCCAATGCCAAGATCACATCACCCAGATGCCAACACCAAGGCACCAATGCCAAGGCCATCGGCAGACACCAACACCAAGGCACCAACACCCAGACCCTAATGCTGAGGCACCAATGCCCAGACCCCAGCACCAAGACCCCAACACCAAGGCCATGAGCAAACACCAATGCCAAGACACCAACACCCAGACCCCAACACCAAGACCCGAACGCCCAGACCCCAACACCAAGACCCCAACACCAAGACCCCAATGCCCAGACCCCAACGCCCAGACCCCAACACCAAGACCCCAACACCAAGACCCCAACACCAAGACCCCAACGCCCAGACCCCAACACCAAGACCCCAACACCAAGACCCCAACGCCCAGACCCCAATGCCCAGACCCCAACACCAAGACCCCAAAACCAAGACCCCAACACCAAGACCCC